GAGACCCAATGACTTGGTTAGAGAGTGTCTGCACAGCACGGGTCATATGTCTTTGTTTCAATGATCCATGAGGTTTGTTGCATGTTTTTCCCTGCGATGCTGTGAGGGCCGATACAGCACAGCTGGTGGCTTGCAGCAAGCATTTTTGTTGGGAGAGCTGTATGAGGATTGGAGAATGGTGTTGAGTTTGTTATCATTGAGGCATGTCACCTTTATCTGTGCTGCTGTGTTCGCCTATGTTTTAAAATCTCCAGATTACCAGCAAGGCTAATGGTTAAAATAGACAGGAAAAGAGACCTGCTGCACTGCTATCCACTGTGTCTGCATTCAGACCCGGGGATTGAGGACGATTAAATTAAAAACACGATTATCTTTATGATGATATAACAAATTCTCGTTATTAAATATATGATATTACAAATAACAAATGCAGCAGGAAATTAGATTAATTACTGTTTATTTCTTTGCATTTTAACTTTGTAACCAATAAAATCATGGGTCTCCTCAGTACTTTTGTCTCATTTTGTGAACCAACTGACAAAAGTTGTTCGCTCCCCTCTTTCTCCCATGCTCTGCCAGCCATGCTCATTCCTCACGCTGCTCGCAAAGCTCCACACCCATTTTGGAGCATTTTTTTTTTAATTCTGAGGTAGACTTGGATGGAAGGGTAATGCAAGGTATTAAGACGCATTTTGGTCAAGTAAGCAGCATGATTAGGTGTCTAAATTGTTTTGAGCTTGTCCACTTTCAACCACTTACTGAGGTAGTTTAAAACACATAAGATATATTTGCTTTAGTAGTAAAACACTCAAGTGGTTGAATTTGTTGGAATAGCCACACAAGTCCACCCATCCAAAAAGTGATGTAGTGCATGAGGAAATAAGAGAGAAGACCAAAGTACTCATAACACACCAATACAAAGTTTTATATTGCTAAACTAGGGATTTTTACCTTTGGCATCTGTGGTTTGACTGAAAATGGATTCATAGGGGAGCCCAGTGTTTTCTTCTTCTTCAGAGTAATGATCGGTGGTGGAGTGAGCACAACTGATTTCTGTGAAACATTCAAATGAATATGAGGTGTAAAATAAGTTATGAATAACAACATTGAAAGCACCTGTAGCATGCTTGTATTAAAAGCAGAAAGACATCCATTTATTACAAAATGTCACAATGATTCACCTCAGAGTGCAAGTCCTGCAAAATATCTCCCAGCAGATCATCTTGAGACAAATCCACATGTTTCTACAATGCAAACATGGGTAAACAAAATTCTGTTTACACACTAGTCAAGCATTACCTTACTTGCCTTACTTGGGTTTTTATTACAAACATTGACAAGTTTCCTTTTTGGTTTAACCAATCTTTAATTTTATAAAATCACACCAAAAAAAAGTTAATATAATGGCCAGTTACAAACAGAAGCATCTTGTGAATTAAAAAAGCTCTTACCTCCGCAGGTTTCTTTACATTACTGTTCATAAACATGCTTTTAATGCTGTTGGGTTTACTGACAGATGATTTCTTCACATTCTTTTTCGAATCACCTCCTTTTGCAGCCTGTTTACCTGCTCACATATAAATAAAGTTATAATTAATTGGTAAAGACAACTTTAAATAAAACACAAACACACTGGTTAATATTGCAAATTGACAAAATTTAAATAAAAGGTGCTGGTTTTCCCACACTCACTTTTAGGGCCCAATGCATCATCATCCAATTCTTCATCAAAGATTTCTCTGCCATCCTCCACATAACCTGTCCCATCTGATAAAAGACACACACTTAAAAAATGATTTTTGCTGCTTGTTTAAATTACTTATTTAAAATGAGCTGAATCAACTCAATTCTTGAGTTTTTTTAAAGACAACTTTCAATGTTAAATCATCTTAAATTTATAAAATCCATTATGTTAAATTTGATTTGTTAGGGGTGTGAATCTATACTGGTCTCATGGTTTGGTTATGTTTATCATGCCATCGATAGGGTTCAATTCGATATCTCTGTGCATCACAATGCATTGACGATGCCTTCCATACAGAATTAGAGTTTTTCTTCACAACACAAGATTTTTTTTTTCATTAAAATCTATAAATATATTTATATTTAGATTATTTGTAATACATATGTGTCCTTTAAAACAAGCAGTAAGATATATGTACAGTAACTATTATTTTACCCGCTCAAGGAAAACACTCTTTTTGAATGTATCAAACAAAACTCAAACACATGCACAGAAAACAGCATGAGCATTTATTGCAAATAAACTAAATGTAAATATTATCCCGCTTGCTTTTTGAGCACTGTCAAGCGAGGTCTTAAACCCATATGATTGGTTGTTGTCTTCGCCCACTCAACAGAAAAGGTGGCGATTGGCTTTAGAAGAGAGTAGTGAAAAGTAGTGAAATAGTGGCTTGTGTGCTGTGCCTTCTTTAGTGTCAATGAAAGACTTTCCAACAAACTCACAAGCAGTTGAATTGTTCATAATTATCAAGTAGGATAAGTAGTAGGAGCGTTTTATTTACTTTTGACACCCCTACGATTTGTGTTGGGACACATGAAGACATGAATTGTGTAGAACCCAGCATTTTACAGGCACATTAATCTGACAACCAATTAAACACTGAAATTTGCATATTGGAGATTGAAGTATGAAAATATGACTGACCGTCATCAATGATCCAATCATCATCCTGTCTCTCCCGAACTATTTTCGAGTACTGCTCTTCATCCACTTCATCATAAATGCTGGTGAACTCCTCCACCTGATCACAACACAATGTCAAAGCGCTGAAACAGCAGAGATGAAATGTACAAACAGCTGAATCTCACCTCGTATTTTACTTTCTCTCCTTTCTTGGCTCTTTTAAGTTGCTCTAAAGCAGACTTGCGCCCGACTTTCTCTTTTTTCTCCCTTCTGGAACGTGAGGCGGCAATGCCACATGTGTCGGATGCATCTAAAGGCATAAACAAATGTGGCATAAAAAAAAAAAAAATATATATATATATATATATATATATAAATCCACAAATGTGATTCAGTGAAATTTTGCTAACTTCTTTGTTAAAAAGACCATTTAAGTGACTAGAATATTTATAATTATATCATATTTTTTCAATATTGTTTCATTATAAAGGATATTTTCATCTGTGGCAATAAGAATATTTTTAATTGTATAATTATTATATTGTAGTAGTAGTGTTAGTAGTGCAGTAAGTAGTAGTAGTGTTATTATGTCACTGTATATTACATTATTATTGTTTATGATTTATTAATTTTCTTTTTCCAGTGCTGGGCATCCGCTGGGATGTTACATAAACGTCTTCCAAAGAAGCACTAAAGTATTATCCAGGAAAGAGTAACGTTAACGCTAGCTGAGAACTGAGAAACATTTGTCAGCCTTAATACTGACATGTTCAGCTTCAAACTTCATGTTTAAGGACCGAAACATCACGTTTACTCGACAAAATGATGATACACGGTAATGTATTTGCATATTTTAACGATTAAGTTAGCTCAGATAAATCAATGTAATGTATTGTATTTCATGTTGCATTAGCGCTGTCAGTACACTACATGCATCCGCTAAGCTGAAAGCTGGAATATTGTGTTAGCTAACAACACTAATCCCTGTAAACACGCTCACCACAATCTCCGCCGTCCATGTCTTTATCGGGATTTGAAACAGGAGCCATTGATATAAAATGCGGTTGAGTCGAGGTAGAATTTCTCTCTCCTTACAAAGGGCGAAGCCAAAACAACAGATTTCCGCGCCAAAGTGTCTTCCCGGGGAAACTCGAGCAGCGGATATGACGTTCTCACCAGCCGACCAATCTGAACAAGTTGATTCGAACTGTTGTAGACAGACTTTATTCAGTGTATTTTTTAGCACATTCATTTTTTTATATCGGAGACTTGAGTTTTTTGTTATTTTACAATTAAAGATCATTTTGTTTGCGTAACTGAACAGTAATGCAAATACTACTACTACTACTACTACTACTACTACTACTACTACTACTAATAATAATAATAATAATAATAATAATTATAATAATAATAATAATAACAAGTTTGTTTTTGTTTGCATACTGTATGCAGAGGCAATTTCCAGATTTTTTCTGTTAGAATTTTCAAGAATAACATTGGCATCAGTTCAGAAATCATATTATCAGTTCAGTATCACTTGTTCAGTAATAATATAATCCAAACAGATCCAAAAAATCAGTTTTAAAATCATACCAAAAACACAATTTAAGTATTATTAAGGATAATTAATTATTTTTAGATATTTGTAGTGGTCGATGATAAAACAAATACAACCGTGCGTGTGTATAACTGCAACAAAATAAATAAATCAATATTTCTACCACAACTATGGGTTTCACTTATAGGTTTTACTGGCATTTAGAAACCAATCATTTGTCCCAGGTTACACATCCACAGAACCGATATATATCTAAATAAATTTAATATTTTATCAAAACGAACCATTTGCTCCGTATGCTTAACCCACCGGTTCGGTTCGGCTATAAGATTCACGCATCCACAAACTGAATCACTGAGTCAGGTTCGTTTGAATCATGTCTTCGAGCACTTCAGGTAACTTCTGGCATGTGGCCACTTTATTGATTCTGATCACAAAAATGTCGACTCTGGTGGGACTCGAACCCACAACCTTTGAATGACCCCATTCAACAATCTAGAAGTCCAATGCGCTATCCATTGCGCCACAGAGCCGATGGGACGTCCTGTCGGTTTATCGCTACTCCTGCATTCGACCGAACAACTTTCGTCCGAAGTAAGTTAGTTAGTATCATAAACATATACACTTAGGATAAACGTTTTACTAGCTAAAACATGTTTAAAGATTGTTATATTTCTTTAACTCATTTGAAATGTTTATTTTATTTTTTAAGTTAGTTTTTAGTTCTTTTATTTTGAAATACCAGACTTCCGCTTTTAGCGGCACATGTGGGAACCCACGTTGTCTGTCAGTAGAACCAAAATGGCTTCGTGCAGTATTGAAGACGTGCTCGCTAAAGCTGAAAGAGACGAGGCTGAGAAGCTCAAAAGTATTACGGTGCTCAAAGAGTTGGATCTTGAATTCGACCCGGGACTTTTGCTGGCGTTTGACAAGAACCGACTTGACACACGGGACTTTAAAGGCAACAAACGGGAGGACTGTCTTCGCTCTTTAGCGCGAGACAACACACAACTTCTCATCAACGAGATATGGAAACTACCCACAGAGAGAGTCGACGAAGTGATCGTCGCCAAGCTGCCAGAACCGACCACTAAACTACCCAGAGAAAAACCAGCACCGAAACCTAAGCCTCCTACTAAATGGGAACAGTTTGCCAAGCTGAAAGGCATTCAGAAGAAAAAGAAGACCAACTTGGTCTGGGATGAAGTTCACAAGGAGTGGAAGAGGAGATGGGGGTATAAACGTGCCAAAGATGACACCAAAGAGTGGTTGATTGAGGTCCCGGCGACTGCAGATCCAAACGAAGACCAGTTCGCCAAAAGGAATAAAGCCAAAAAGGAAAGAGTGGCCAGAAACGAGTACAACAGACTCAAAAACATCGCCAGAGCTCAGAAGGTCAAGGTTCCTGGAACAGGACTCCTGCCTACATCCCAGCAGACCAAAGCGGAGCTGGCACAAGCGGTCAGTCTGGCCAAAATATCCACCGCATCGGTTGGCAAATTCCAGGAGAAGCTGCCCAAGGAAAAACCAGCCAGAAACACTGGGAAGAAGAGGAAATTCCAGCCTCTTATTGGGGACTTCAGTAGCGAGAAGCAAAAACAGCTGGATTTATTGAAGGTGATGGACAGTAAGAAGCCCCGTCTCGATATCACTAAAGCTGTGAATAAGCAGATGAGGGAAGAGGACTCGGAGTCTGCTCGGAATAATAAGAAAGGGTTTGGAAAGAAGGGACGCAAGGGAGGCATGCCTGGTAAAGGAAAAGGCAAAGGAAAACCTGGAGGAAAGGGAAAAGCTCCTAAAGGCAAAGGGCGCAAACCTCAGATGAAGCAAGGAAAGCGCTAACATTTAAAGCAGTGTGGTGGACTTATGATGTTTATTGTAGAATATAATAAATATTGCACACGACTCAACTTCTCTTAAGTCATGACTTTGAGTGCCTTGCGGCTGGAGTTTGATTCAGTACAGGAATCGGGTTTGTTTATGTGTTTAGGCTTTATCTACATATGTCATGGATTAAGATCATTGAACCGTTTTCATAAATGTCATCTAATATTGACTCCTGTTATTCATTCGTAATTGTGTTTTCACATTAAATTAAAATTCTTTCTGATTTGCCATCAGTTCCTGGTTGGATATTGTGAATAATGAGGTTATATTTCATCCCCAAAGTTATTTAAAAATGAGTATAAATGTGTCAAAGCCTGCTGTTAATGGGTAACATTTGTACTTAAATAGTATGTTCTTATAATGTAATATAAAATATCATCAAATGTGTATTTTAGAATTATAAAGCTAAAATATCACCTTAAAAAATTGAAGCTAAGATTCAATTAATAAAGTATTTGAGCAATTTTAATGAAAAGAATATGATTAGATTTATCTTATACCATCAAATAGAGGAGACATCCCATTTCAGTGTCTACCTAAGTTCACAAATGTGATTTTTAATTACAGCAATCAAATTAAATCTAATTAAATTGTTTAGTGATTTAAATAACTTTTGTGAAATTAAAAATATGAGTTAAAAACGCTGTATTGTCATTTAGTGTTATGTGAAAATGAAACCTACTGTTATTCTGATCTGTGATGTGACAAATATGTATAAAATAATAACTTAAAGCTTTCCCAGAGATGGGTTGCAGCTGGAAGGGCATCCACTGCATAAAACATAAACTGGAAAAGATGGCAGTTCATTCTGCTGTGGCGACCCCGGATTAATAAAGGGACTAAGCCGAAAATAAAATACATAATTTTTAAAGCTTAAATACGTATTGAATTAGAAAAATCTTGCTGTTAATGGGTAAAATCTGCACTTTAATAGAATGTTCATATAATTTAATATAAAGTATAATCCAATTAATACTCATGTAAGTGTGTTTTCTTGAATTATGAAACTAAAATATTCAAATTAAAAAAATCAATACTGGGTTTCAAGTGATTTTGATTAATTAAAGATTTCATTGTTTGATTTGAATTGATAAATCATGAAAAAAGTTTTTTGATCATGCAGTTTATGTCAGCAACATATAAACCTTTTATTCTTGCATATTTAACATTTCTTAATTTCAGACCAGTTTTAACTCACGATATTCTATTAAAAATAAAGGGAATTTATTTTTTATGTATTTGCTGAAACTGTAATGTCAAAATGGGTTCAATATACTGTATGCATGGTGCAGTACTGAGATATCCCCTGTCAACCTGCTGACAGAAAATACATTTTTCATTAATTGCATCTGAAAGCTTGTTCAATTTTAAATGAATATATGAAGTACCACCTTTGATCATGCTAAAACATGCATTTCTTTCAAATTGATGCAAAAAGACAAGACTTCAGTATTATAATAATATATTGTAAATGAAACCCTCTCACTCCAAATGAGAAACAAGACACCATATGTTCGAAATATTGATGTGTCTGCAGAACTGGTGGCTCTTTCTACAAATTAATAACCTGTTCTTGAGTTGATGGATGGTGTTTGACCAGCGACATAATCTCAGATCATGGTGAGGGGGGCTTCGAGAGGGGAAGGTACCCATCTGTTGACTGCTGTCAGGCATGCAAAACATCATTAGTCAAACAATCAAGACACAAACACCCCACGCCAATGGACAGAAAAATGGGGCACATTTAATGCCAAAATCAATTAGCACTGCTGTGCCTAGAATGCAGAATGATTATTGATACAGCATGTGGGATTAAGAAGAGGCAAATGGTTAAAAACGTTAATATTGTTTTATACCAGTTAAACATGAAACATAAGCTGTAGTATAACAAAAAAAAGCTATCATTTCCTCAGACATATATAAGGAGTGATGGATTAGTGAGCAGCATTTTTAAAGGACAGATTGATGGATGAGAGACAGAGGGATCTTTGTTAGGATGCAACAGCACATTTACATGCAGGGCAATGAACAGTTTGATGCATTTGAATGGCTTCATTTTTCGTCAGTGACTTATTTGGCATAAAGTTATGTGTTTTGTCAAATTAAACACGAAAAGCCAAATAAAGTCAGTGAGTGTTGCTCATAGTCAGAGTTTAACATAAATCAAATTAAAACAATTATTTTCAATTTATTGAGTAATTTGTCACTCATGTGCCATACTTTGTAGACTATGTTTTGCATTTCCTTTGGTTTCCATTTGACCTTTTTGCATTAAGTTGCTTTTATACTTTCTATACATATTAATATTATCAGTTAAGATGCAGGCTATTCCAAATAAGAGATTTTTGTTCATATATTGTACAATTTTATTTCATGTTTAATTTTACATAAAGAAGTTCAAACATACTCTTAAGTTACATAAATATTTAATGTATATTATATTAAAGTAATGGACTGAATGAAGTCTAAAAGGTTCAAGTAGAAAACCTGAAAGGGTGTTTTCTTCTAAAACAAACTTCAATCCTATTAAAGTGCCACTCAAAAATGTACTTAAATTGACACTCATTTTTCATTACTTTTAAAGTTTACAGTTAACATTGTTAACATTTTAATTATTTTAATTATGACTGTTTTGTTACTCAAAGGTAACAAAACAGTCATAATTAAAATAATTAAAATGTTTTAATTAATACATTCATACTGTATATTAAAGTCAAATCTGTAGGCACTGTGTGTGGGAATTAGTCCACATATTTCACCTTAGCACTATTCCAGTAGACATGTAATGCGCAATATATCCACTAGATGGTAGTAACACACCACCGCTACACTAATGGGGGCCCAAGTTGAAATTTTGAATGGGTGACGTCAAACTTTCTCTCAAAGCTTGACAGCGGTGTTTTTTTGGGGGGTCAACAGGGCAACTTGTGTCTCTGAGCTGAGTCATATTATCATTTAGTGTATTTCATGAACATGCGCCATTCCATAAACCATATTCCTTCGGAGGCGTAAATTTGTGCATTTCAGGACAGCGCGCGAATGCAGCTAATCTGTTTTTCTCTGTGCTTTTGTTTCTATTCGCTGTTTAAAGCGGACCGGGACAGTAGTGAGTCCCCTAGGGAGGCATGGGGTGAGTAATGCCACCATACACATAATGAGTCTGCAAATTACACATCTTTACGCCCATCAAACCCCCCACCGACACACGCGGGCAGCTGCTGCTCCTGCCAGCGTCACACTGACACACTCCCTAAACAGGTGGTGGCGCACAGCCATTAGCTGACAACACACACGCACACGCACACTGATCAATTAACATTTGGTGATGGATTTAATGTAAAGATTTAGAGATATATAGTCTGTAGGAATATTGTGAGCTATTATGTTTATTACCTTTTTTTAAATGTAATTTATTTGTGATGGCAAAGCTGAATTGCCTGGTGCCATCAGACTGGTACTCTTTTTTCCTTCAGAACTCATCTGAATTACGCGAGTTGATGCATTATTATTTATTATTTGTGCTTTTAATAACAGTTCTTATTATTATGAAAGTTGAAAAAGATGTTTTAGTGGCATTTTACAGTTATTATTGTAGTTTTATTAATAGTTGTGATTTTAGTTTAGAAAATGTAATTGATCATTTTCTTGTTTAAATAGTTTTAGATTAGATTTAGATTTAGATTTTGTTTGTAGAAAACAAACAAACAAAAACATTCAATTTGTCTAAATAATAATAATAGCTATATATATATATATATATATATATATATATATATATATATATATATATATATATATATATATATATATATATATATATATATATATATACATGTGTGTGTGTGTGTGTGTGTGTGCGCGCGCGCGTGTGTGTGTGCGTGTGTGTGTGTGTGTATGTGTGTGAGCAATTCCAGCGTTTTAGATGTGACATTTGCAGTGAAAAGTCTAAAAACTCAACACATAAATTGACAGAGAAAGCATATGTTAACATTATATCGAAACATCTATTGATATATTTCCAGAGCAATTTACCACATATCTATTGGATCAGAAATATCTAACTGTAAACATGATGTTTTGTAATTTAAATGAGGAAAATAAACATGTGTTATGGATGTGACCTAAAAGTCAGTGAGTTTACAGCATAAAACATACTCTGCAGAAATTCTCTGAATTAAACTGCACAACCCAAAAGAAACAATGCTATTCAAAAGGAGAAAAGTTGGCTCTCTATAGAACAAAATTATTATAATTTTTTTTTAAATTTAAGATTTTTGAATTTATGAGGAAAAAGTTTCGTTATGGATGTGACATCTCTCTGTAATGGATGTGACAGATATGAAATTGGCACTTGTGTGACTTTGGCAAATCAAATATTATAGTTTGAAAACACTGATAGAGACATTCTTGAGGATTTCTAAAGCATTGTAAAATACTTGCTTACACAAAAAACCTAGAAACAGATTCTGTATTTTGGTGAAAACTTTTTTGAATTTTTTTTTTTTTTTGGCAAAGTTGACATGCATGGAATTGCTCATATATCATATATAATACTGCTATACATTTTCTGTTGTTTTTTTTTTAGTTTAATTACTTAATGTTATTATTGAATTAGTATTAGTGGACATTTGATTTAGCCAAACTTGTTTCTCTATTTAACGAAACTTTTAAATTCAATATTAGGGGGCGACACAGTGACTACCATTGCCTCACAGCAAAAAGGTCACTGGTTTGAGTTCTGGCTGTTTCAGTTGGCTTTTCTGTGTGGAGTTTGCATGTTCTCCCTATGTTCGCATGGGTTTCCTCCGGTTTCCCCCACAGTCTAAAGACATGTTGTACTGGTGAATTGTATAAGCTTAATTGGCCATAGTGTATGAGTGTCCATGTTAGAGTGTATGGGTGTTTCCCAGTGTTGGGTTGCGGCTGGAAGGGCATCCGCTGCGTAAAACATATGCTGAATAAGTTGATGGTTCATTCGGCTGTGGTGATCCCTGATGAATAACGGAACTAAGCCGAAAAGAAAATGAATGAATGAATTAGGGGGCGACACAGTGGCTCTGTTGCCTGCCTCACAGCAAAAAAGTCACTGGTTTGATCCCGGCAGTTGCCATTTCTGTGTGGAGTTTGCATGTTCTCCCCGTGTTGGCGTGGGTTTCGTCTGGGATGCTCCGGGGTTCTCACAGTCCAAAGACATGCGCTATAGGGGAATTGAATAAACCCAGTTCTGGGTTGC